AATATTAGACTATATTCATTGTTAAAAATTGAGAAATTTTTTACCTATTTAAATTATTTTATTTTTCTAACTAGAAAAAATATAAATGTCATTTTTATAATATTCTGATTTTTCCATTATTACAATAAATAAATCTTCTAAATTTGAATAAGAAAGCGTAATTCAAGGCAATATTCTGATTTTTAACTTTCATGATAAAGTCTTGTATTAATTATAAATACAATCCGTTGTGATTCAACACTAATAACATAAAACAAGTAAACACACAAACACGACAAAATGCACAATAACAAAGAGTCAAATTATCAATGATAAATAAATCATAAACAAACATATTCATTAGTAAAGCAAAAAAATATATACTATCAAAAATATATATATTATCATGCTAGCCTTATAGTAAAAATTATATTTTTTTATTTAAAAAGCTTCCATAAATATTATCGCAAAATAATTTTGCAAATAATAACATTCAAATACAAATTATATATGTATATACACACACACATATATATATATATATATATATATATACATATATGCTATATATATATATATGTATATATATATTTATAAAATTTATTAAAACACTTTTTCAAAAACGGTGTTATTTTACGTTAATTTACCTCATTATTCTATGCGTAACATTACAAAATAAGATTTTTAAAAAATAAAATATCTTCGAATATTTCATATTTAAAAGATGTCATTAAAACGTTTCATAAACCATTTAATTCTTGGCCAGTTTATTTTTTCCACAGAATATATAAAAAACTAATTTATAAAAAAAAAACACAATTATTTTTTATTAATATCTACTATATGATGTATTATTTAATGTATATGATAAATACAATTGTATATATGTATTTCAATTTAATTATACTAAACTATAATAAATTCAGATTGATAAATAATGAAAATTATCTTTAATAATAGAAATATACAAAGATTGCAAATATATAATATAATTTTAATAAATCATTTTATATTATATGTAGCATAAAAAATATATAAAATATATATATTTTTTTATATAGCTATATTTATAAATATACCTATATATGTTTATTTATGTAAAGCATCAAATTCTCTTACTTGAAATTTAGTGTTCTTGCAGGAAGTTTAGCCATAATGCTAAATAACACTCTTGCAGAAAGATAATGCATCCTGCATATTTTGGTTGTCCATAAATAAAGGTGGTTAGGTAATAAACAAAAATGAAAAAGCGAAAAAAAATGGGAAATCACCATTAATGTTTTTGATTTGCCAACCTGCTGCGGCTAGTTGAGCTGTAACATCGTCATCCATTGCAGCTGTAAGTAGGTCTCCTTCCTCATAGGTTTCTGATCCGCTACTAGGATCATCATCGTCGTCATCTGAAAGCCTGCGCATCGTGCTAGTCTCCGCATCTTGCATGGACACCATCTTTACCGGTTTGTTAACCGTTTTGGTATCTTGAATATTGTAATCACACTGTAGAAAGTTGTGATGTCGTCGATTTGGCAGTTTCAATTTCTTCTTCACATCACCTTAGCCTGAAATGACAAAGTACCTTTACTTGAAAGTTCTTTAATGAGGTTCCTGTATAGTGTACAATCGTCATTAAAATAATTCAGAAATACTAGACATGTAAAAGACGAATCTAGACACTCGAGAGATTCATTGACCCGTACTATTATATTATTCTTAACATTTTCCGCATATTTACATCGCTTGCCGAAAACTGGGGAGCAAAAAAAAAAGGCGAAAAGCACGTGTTTCCTTTCCAGAGGAAGGGGAAAGGAAAAAAAAACGCAGAGGTAAATTAGGATATATACATTTCGCACGATTGACGAGCTGCGAGCTGTGAGCTGCGAACGGCGGCGTGTACCAGCAGGCGACGGATGGAAGACTTCCACATGGAAGACTTCCGCGTCTCGCACATATATTTCTCCTGATGGACGAGTTAGCGTACGAATACCCACGCAGATATAAAGGAGTGCGGCGGAAGGCGACGACGGCGACGGTGAGGGCGACGATAGAGGTGGTGGTGGCCGCTGCCGCCACCGCCGCCGCTGCCGCTGCGTCTCTCGTCCATCTCGCAGCATCGTTGCTGATCATTGCAGAATTGGGCAAAGTTGACAAACGAAACGGACAGCAGGCGACAACAACAAGACAACGCGGTGATAAAGAACGCGCGCGTAAAGTAATGATGAGAGAGAAAGTGAGAGAGAGAGAGAGAGAGAAAGAGAGAGAGAGACGGAGGAGAAAGAAAGAGAGGGAGACCGCGGGGATATGCGCGTTTATTCGGGCCGATACTTTGGGGGGGCAATGAAAATGCGCAGGGCACACGCAAAAGAGAGGCTACACCTCCGGGTAGCCGGGTAGCGGAGCAGCTCACGACGACTGCTCGGTAACGCGGAGCCGATGGAGCAGGCCCAGTGAAAATCGCGAGTTGCGTACGCACCTTGGTGTGTTCCCGCGGAGTGGATTCAAGGGAGGGCTTAGGACTCTTTGCGTCTGCGGGGAGGCGACCTGGCGACCGCCTCGGCTACGCTCTCGCACCACGCCCCGCGCACGCGGTCGCGCCCGCGCTTATCATCACCGTCACCGTGGCCGGTCCTGCGCCGGCGAACGCGAGGCCACTTGCCGACTTGCCTTTACCTCAGGACGCGTGACGCGCGACGACGACAACGGTAGCCGCCATGGCCGGTATTCGGCGGCGGGCGTATCGATCGGCACCGAGCGGGCCTCCATCACCACCACCACAACAAAACGCGGACACGGTACCGGCCATCTTGGGCGAGTCTGCGCGATGCAGGCCCACCCGAGCAGACGATGCGAAATTGCATGGATTTCGCGAACGGCGAGGACGTCGCGCGCGCCCGATCCCGATCGCCGATCGTCCGCGTGCCAACTTTCCAAGCCTACCGTGCCAGCACTCACCGTTTCCCCGTTGAAATCCACCGAACGACAGCAGCGATCCGGGAGAACGCCAACGCCATGTACATATATACAAGCTTGGTATAGCGCGATTGGCGGGAATCGCTCGGGCACGCGTCATGGCGGACTGCGTACCTACGCCGCCATTGGTCCGAGGGACACGTGACTGTCCTGTTCCGTTCGCGGCGCGGCGCGGCGCGGCGTAATGTAATGTCGCTTGTCGGACGACCATAACCTACCTGTTCTCACATAAAGCATTGGCATTCCTTTTCTCGCCTACGACACCTTTCTCTCGCGACCTTCCTGGGATCTCTGGCTAGTTGGCTACATCCGGCGTCGCCCGTCTCATTCCTCGACGATCGTCCGATTGTTCCCGACGTTTGAAAATATACCTTGCAAATGTCAGCGCCACGTTCGTTCACGTACGCACTATTCTTTATCTACCTAATATATTTTTTCACCTCACGTTGAAAAGGGATTTTGCAACTTTGACTATTTGCCGTGCAAGTGCACCTAATTTTAAGCTATAAGCTAAGAACTTTGACCTAAACTCTGATTTATCAATAATTTATCAGGTGAAAATCTGTACTTATGTTAAACAGCAGAATTATTTTTTTATTAACAATAAATAAAATTGGAGCACATTGTAAATTGGTGCTTTCCAGTAAGCGTAATACAGTGATCATAACATCTTTGTTTAACATTGCTAAATAACAAGTTATAGTTTTTTATCTTAAAAAGTAATTAATTACTTTTTAAGACTGTTACAAGTTTAATTCTAAACAGTTATATATACAGTTACTGTAGGAAGTAACGAGTAGTTATTTTTTCTGTTAATCTTTGTAATTATTTGCATTTCTATTTTAAATACAGGAATCTTTTTTTGATATTACTAAATTATTTTACAAATCTTAAAAGAAAGATATATACTAGTGTATGCAAATCAACTTGAGAAAGTAAAGGCCAAGAAACGAGCTAAAGAAATAGTACAAGATGTTTAAATTAATAAATATTAATAATAAGGATTTATTGTATGTCAGAAAATTGAAATGATATGTCTCAACACAGAGTCTTCATTTATAAATTTTTCTTATTATATATTAAGTATTCGGTCATATATTATATTTGTTATAACAAATTAATATATACACTTGGAACCAAAGTTATAGAATTAATGTTGAAATATATCCTCATATTAAAAGACCTTTAGCTTAATTCTTAATATAGACATTTACAATGTACGATGATTAATCGAGGATAATCAAATACAAGAAATAGTCACAAATTTGTTCACTGAGCATTCACTTTATTTTGATCAGCCAATATGTTGACGAATAAGTTTAACATATTTAAAAAGTATTACTTCATTACAGTTATAGTTACGAAACAAAAATGTAACTACTTAAATGTTCGAAAGTATTACCTTACCGAAAATTGTGGTTTTTTTCAGTAATTAGCAAAACTAATTATAAAAAGATATATACATTGTTTTATAAGGAGAGCTTATTCTTGTGGAAAAATACTCGACAATTACATATATTTTCTTATATAATTTACATTGTAATAAAGAATAATTCATGATTTATACTTACATATTCTTTGCTTTAATTAATTAAAAACACAAATTTGCTTGTATAATTTAAATTATACATACTCTTTGTTTTAATTAATTTAAATTATTGCAGAATCAATAAATTCCGCCTTAAAACATTGTCTTTTTATAACTAATTTTATTAATTACCAAATAAAAAATCATGACTTTTAGTAGATAATACTTCTGGACATTTACTGGGTCTTTGCTAATTTTCGTAAAATTTCCATTTTTAATATATTATATTCATCAATTTAATAAAGCGATAAATTTGGGTAATAACTGTGAATGTATTATATTTAAACAACATAAAATTGATATTTAAAATTTTAAACATATGCAGTACAAT